ATGTTCTTTGCCTTATATTCATCCTAGCTTAAATTCATCTCATAATTTTTTAAGTTTTACTTCTATGTTTATGTTTGTATGTGGTGTGTATGCTTCTATGTATGTGTCTGTGTGTGTGTTTGTGTGCATAGTGTGGTGTGTGTGTCTGTGTGTATGCTTGGGTGTAATATAGTTATATATCTGTGTATGTGTGTGATGTGATGTTTGTGTGTCTATGTGTGTGTGTTGTACGTGTCTGTGTTTGTGTGTGTTATTGTATGTGCCTATGTCTGTTTGATTTATAAACCTCATTTGTTTAGTACTAAAATTGTATGCAGAATGGAATCTTATTAAAAAATTATTTATCTTTGCTTGTGTTTGTGTGTGTGTGTGTGTGTGTGTGTGTGTTTACCCATCAGTCTCAAAATTCTGGATGTATCCTAAGGACTTTGATCCATTTTGAACTCAATGGGTAAGGATCTAATTTCTTTCCTCTATACTCTAGATATTCAGTTTCTAGCACCACCTGATAAGGAGGAAGTACTGTTGTCTCTAATGTATGGTTTTGCTTTGGCAAAAAAATCACCATCTATACCATAGCTAACAAAGTTCCGCACCCTCGGGAATAAAATATGCAACAGGTATGGAAGTCTAAAGAAAGCATCAGTGTTGGGGTATTTTATTATTCAATGTCATCTCAAAGATGGCTATCCTCAAGAAACCATCCTTCCTTTCCTGAAGTACAGTCACACCTTTAATCTCAGTAGCCACACTAGTTGCCAGAGAAACTGGGCAGGGCATGCCTTTAATGACAGTGGTGCACTCCTTTAATCCTAGCCCCAGAGAGAATTATAGAATGGGAGGAAACAGCTCTCAAATTTGCACTCTCCTCTGAAATTTCAGTAGGCAGGATCGCCATTTCAGATTGAGGTCAAGGTAAGAGCCAGTGGCTGGCTGTTTTTCTTTTCAGATCTTCAGGATCAACCCAAATTTCTGACCCTGAGCTTTTATTAATCGTGATTCAATGTTCTGAAGAAGGCAAAAACTAAGGTGTCAGGGGACTAAGGAAAAGAAGGTATAATCTGAGCAATCAGGCAAAGACATGTAAATTAATGGATGATTAGGGGACACAATAAACTACAGAACAATTGCATATTCACTATAAATTTAGAGCGAGAGGAAATATAGAAGCACCATTTTAGTCAAGATTCCTGCTGTTTCAGACTTATTTTGGAAGCAGATTATTAAAATACTATAAAAGGACTAAATTGGTATGGTGATATTTTGTTTGTGATTAAACAAATAAAGCTTGCCTGAAGATCAGAGTGAGGAGCTAGCCACTAGTCATTCACAGAGGCCAGGCAGTAGTGGCACATACCATTAACACCAGCACTTGGGGACAGAGTCAGATGGATCTCTGTGAGTTCAAGGCCACCCTGGGATACTTGAGATTGATCGCATCTCAAAGACAAATGGAGCCAAATTTTGGTGGCTCACATCTTTAAACCCAGTACTTGGGAGTCACATGCCTTTAATTGCAACAGTGGGAAGGTGGAGACAAAAAGGGATATGGCTGGGTGGAGAGAGGAGCTGAGGGTATTCGGTCTGAGGGTTTATAGAGACAGCCTATCCCATTCAGTTTGAGGGTTCATTGAGACAGGATCCTAGCTCCTTTTGTCTGAGGATTCAGTAGAGGTAAAAATTCTTCCTAGTGGCTGGCTACTTTATTTCTCTGATCTTTCAGCATTTCCTCTGGTATCTGACACTGGGTTTTTGTTATTAAGACCAATTAGAATTTGTGCTACAAATTAGCTTGGAACCTTAGTAGTCCATGACTGACACCTGATTATAAAGTAAGCACCTGGAACAGGATGAAGAACAGCTTCACTGTTGGAGAGTTGGTTAGTGAGACTCAACTATGAAGCTACGTAATTATGTGTATCATCTACGAGAATCACCAATAACGAGGGCCAAAGGTACATTGAAGAATGGGACTAGTGTCAAAGAGTAGATCAAGAGCTGAAACTTCAGGGCTATGGGGAAGTACAACCTATAATGCAGATTGAATAAAATATTCATGTTCACAGTGTGCACTCATTCGTTTGTGCCTGGACACATTAGGTAAGGAGGATAAAGTGAGTTGTAAATGACTTTAGCCACTATTATTAATAAATACTTGGAATTTGCAATGGACACATAAAACACTGGTTCTGTTTTTAAAAAGATGGATTTAGCTTCATCTTTTTATTTTATTTTATTAATTTATGTAGTTAATTTTTCAGTACTATGTTGTTTTCATAACTACAGCTCTGCAGCATAAGTTGAAATTAGTCATAATATTACACCTAGTACTTCTTTTTATTCCACATTACTAAGACTATGTGGAGTCTTATATGATTCTAAATAAACTTTAAGAGTTTTAAAAATTATTGTGGTAAATGAAGTTAGAATTTTGCTTTACCTATGTAGATTTGTTTTTGGTGATGTGGCATTTTCACAATATTGGCCATTTCAACCCATGGTCATGGGTGACCTTTCTATCCAATGTCTTCTCCAATTTCTTAATGTGGTCTTCTACATCTTTCATTTCATTTGTTCAGTTTGTTTCTGTATACGTTTCATACTTAATCTCAGGGATGTAAGAAATGAAATGTTTGCTTTGATTTGCTGTTACAGTTTAAAGCCCTCGTGTTAGATAAGTCATGGTGCTAGAAGTATGTAGCAGCTCGTTAAGTGCATCAAAAATCAAGACTCAGAGAACACGCGTTCTCCTTCTCTCTCTGCCCATGTTTTACTTTACATTCCGTCCACAACTCTAGACCATAAAATGTGCAGCCATATTGAGTGGAACATTCTATCCTAGTTATCGAATCTAGATCGTTCATTACAAGTATGCTCAGAAATGAATTACTCCTAAATAATTTCTGCTGTGGGAGGTCCTTCTGTCTATGTGTTGCTTTTAGTGGTTAATGAATAAAGAAACTGCCTTGGCCTGTTGATAGGGCAGAACTTAGGCAGGGAAAACTGGACTGCATGCTGGGAGAAGGAAAGTGAAGAGAGGGAGATGCCATTGAGCCTCCGCTGGAGACAAACGTGCTGAAACTTTATTGGTAGACCATGACCTTGTGGTGATGCACAGATTACTAGAAATGGGTTAAATTAAGATGTGAGAATTAGCCAATAAGAAGTTAGACCTAATGGGCCAAGCAGTGTTTTAATTAATATAGTTTCAATGTGATTATTTTGGGTCTAAGCTAGCCGGCAGCCAGGAAGGACAAGCAGCCCCTCCTCCAACAAATTTCTAGCAGATATGTGGAAAAGTTTCTGTTGTTCTGAGCAATTCTAGAGCATATAATATTAATGATATTTAATACTCATAAATATACCTTTTTTGACTTTTTTCCTCCTTTGAAGCAATTTTTGATGAATTGTTTTTCCTTATTTCTTTTTCAACGTGTTCATATTTGAAATAAAAGAAAATTGTTGAGTTTCGTTTTGCTTTCTAATTTAGTATTTGTACACTTTTCAATGTGTTTTCTATAACTGCTTTCCAAACCAAAGCTCCCAACGTCCAATGAAAAGCATGGTCAGGCCTTTTGTAACAACACCCAGTTCCTGGTACAAACTTCTGTCTTTGTTAGAGTTTCTACTATTGTGAAATGACACCATTACCATGGCAACTCTTTCAAAGGAAAACATTTAATTGAGGTGGTGGCAATATGGTGGGACATGGCACTATGAAGGCAGACAAGGTGCTGGAAAAATAGCCAAGTCTTATATCTTGTAGGCAACAGGAAGTGAACTAAGACATTAGACAGTATTTTCAGCAATTAACAGACCTAAAGTCCTGCCTCCACAGTGACTGACATACTTCCTCCACCAAGGTTACACCTATGCCAACAAGGCCACACTTCTTCATAGTGTCACTATATTTCGGGACCATTTTTTTTTCAAACCACCAAACTGCTTGATTAGTGTGAAGATATTTAAAACTTATAATACAAACATCCTTTTCAGCATAACTATGGCCTATGCATGTCCCTTTTGCATTACATGGGTTTCAACTGAAAATATCACTTCATTGGAAAGCTAATTTATAACTACACTTGCTTTTATTCCAGCATTCTGTCACAATTTCCTCTTAGGCTCATGGATACTCAAGGAGCTGTCTAAAGCAAGATGTTTTAAGATTAGGAAAATTCAACAAAGAGACTTATCAAAACCCAGGAAGTAAACAGCTAAAATATCTCTGGAAATCCCTGAAATTTACCAGATACCTGAGTCCCTTCTTCCAAAAGTTTATGTAAGTTGTAATAACTTATAAGGAGCAAATACTAGCTGAACTGTCTGAGTCTCAGACCAGTAAAGTTTCCTGAATGCTACACTCCCCCGCCTGATGACCTACACATATGTCATGCAGTCAGTTCCAGTGTTCCAGATTTTATGCTGGGGTAGGCTTTTGGTAATTCAATTGCCTATGAGTTATCCCTGTTCCTGAATGTAAACCCTCACCCATATTTCTTTAAAAAAAACTCGAGTTTAGCTCATTGATTCATGAAGTTGGACTTGTGTGCAATGCACTCCTGTACCAAGTACAGTGGATCTGTACTTTGTCACTGGTTCTGTATCTGTGGTGGGTAGTTATTAATCCACATATCCTCGGGAACAGTGAGGCACAACACATATTAATATATGAATTATATTTTATGTTATCTTTTTACTTTCTAAAAATATGTACAACAATTGTATTAGTATCTTTCTTCTAATAAAAACCAGTGACTGGAGAGACCATTAGCTCTCAAATAAAGCTATTTAAACATAAATTCCTGCCTTGTTTGTTTCAATGACAATATGAAGATCCCAAACCAAATGTAAAAAGAGGCTAGCGATGTAGTTCACTTAGAAGAGGGCTTTTGCAGTAAAAACCCAGGGGTTTAATTCTAGCACCTCATAAAAAAACAGTGCTGTGGTGATGGTGGGGGCATTTATGTAATCCCAAACATCAGGAAGAAGATCAGCACCTCAAGGTCATCCTCAGGAAAATATGATGAGCTTGCGGCCATCTTGCCTTACATGAGATCCCAGCTCTGTCTAAAAAAAAAAAAAAAAAATAGAATTTTAATGTTTTTAAGATACCAGAACCTCAACTGAATTTATTAAATGATTCTCATAGAAAAAGAAGCCTCTTCCATCTCCCTTGAGACATTAATCATTGTTTATGATACAGTTTTGATGTAATAAAATTATCTTTCATGATAGAAGCAGAGAAGTAGCGAGGACAGCTTCATGTTTATATCCGCAAACACACATTATTTTACTGTTTTTTTCATGGAAATGCCAGAAATATCATTGTGAGAGTCAAAAACCCATTTCTGAAAAATATTGAACTAGTAAAAGTGTGAGCTGAGCCGATTTCAACATCTTTATTAATGTATCCTTCAAATTGTTACATTATCTTCTATAATTGATACTACAATTAGACTGCACCCCATATGTGAATAATTCTTTTTAGAGATATACTTTAAGAACTATATTAAGCGCTAATATTGTTGTCATGTCTAATGCAATAGTCATTTTTAAATTATGTGCCAAGAAGTAGATTTACATTGAGATTGGAAAATAATGACAGTAAAAGCTTCTAAGCCATTTTAAAAAGAGAATAAAATACACTACCTGATGACTTTATTCTACCACCTATTAAATATTTTTGGAGAGGGAAATGGCTTGCAGTAATTTCCTTTTGATATAATCTGTACTGATCAAAACAGCATTAGTACTTTGGGGGTTTTCTTCTACATATTTATTTAAAAGACATCAACTTGATATAATGTAAAGAAACAATTGGAGAATAAACAGAAAATGGAGCAGAATAAGGAATTCTACAAAGCAGCGAATCTCAACCTTCATAATACAGTGACCCTTTAATACAGTTCCTCTTGTTGTGGTGAGCCCAAACAAAAACCTATTTCCATTGTTATTTCATATTTTAATATTGTTACCGTTATGAATCATAATATAGATATTTGTAGTTTCTGATGGCCTTCGATGACCACTGTGAAAGACTTCTTCAGCTCATGAAGGGATCATGTACCACAGTTTGAGAAGCGTAGCCATAAAGCAGTCAACATTAAATTATATAACAGGGAGTGAATCTACACTACGTTTGCCAATATGTGAATTTTAACAGGTTTTGAGATTGTGTGTGTGTGTGTGTGTGTGTTTGAATGGACACTATCCACTCAAGCACATGGCTCTGGCAGGCCTTCTCTCCTATTTCCTCTGCCTTGCTAAAAGCTTATAAGTCCCATTCCTAAAGCTAGCCCTCAAGGTCTATTTCCTTGTTTTGACCACTTCCTCTTCCTGAGACTCATTCCACCACCATCCAACTACAGAATCATTGAGTCCAACAATCAAAAGCCCCATATGGTTCACCTGATTAGCAAGCCCAATTAAAATTAAACACCTTATCCAACACAGGATTTCCCCCTTTACCTTCATAAATCCCATTTTCTTATGTGCCAAGTCTGTTTCTCTCTATCCAGAGGCATCATTTGTCTCTCTGGAACTTCATTTAGCCCGTTTCTTGTCCCCAATTTCATTTATCACAGATGCATCCTAGCCCACTCTAACACAGACCTTCCTTTCTTTTCCCCTAAAAAATTTTACTTCCAAGATGATCAGCTTACTGTGTTTTCCAGATTAATAAAGAATTTCTCAACGAAAACAGGTGTTTGGGTGTGGTTTGTGCCTAATGTGGGGTCCTGGAGAAAGCCCCTGCAGTGTGGGGTCTCCTTCCTGCCTCATCTTTTCAGTGTGTGTGTGTGTGTGTGTAATTTGTGTACTTGCATTTTCATGCATGCAGAAGCCAGAAGGGTGTGTCAGCTATTCTTGACCTTAAATTACAAGCTGTAGCAAGGATGTTTAGACCGGGAATTAAGGCATAAACAGAAGTCTTTTAGGATTCTTAGTCACTGAACTTTGTCTCAAAGACCCTGAGAATGATACTGTTTCCTCCTTGGTAATATGGGTTAATCGGGTTAATTGGGTTAATCGTTGTGTTATTATAATCAGGAAAGTTTAAAAAATAAAAAAAAAATAATGGTAATATCTGATAGTTGTTTACTTTAATCATACTTATAGCGACTGCAAGTGTCCTTGATATAACTACCATACTCCACATATAACTCTGGCCAAAGACAATTATCAAACTTCATATTGTGATACTGAAAAAAGCACAATTCTCTTTTAATCATATTCTGTTTCAAAAGAGAATACTTTCAAGGGAAAGAGATACACAGCAAAGATAAAATGAATGTTAGAGGGAAATATTTAATAGGAATTAACAAATAATTTGATTATTATCATAATTGACAGAAATTATGAAATTGTTACAGAAACTGAGATAGACTTATAATTAATAAAAATTTCCAAATTACTTTAAAAATTAATGTTCATAGTAAATTTAATAGTTCTTAAATTTATTTGTAGTATTTATCATGTATTTATTTATTTTGTTTGTAGTTGAGGATATGCACATACCAATGTACATGTATGCCATGACATTCACAGAATATTAGGGATCTCTTAAAAGTGTTGCTTCTTTCCTTCCAGCTGTGGACTCTGGATATTGAAATCAGTGGCCCAACTCAGTGGCCCTTATACGTAGCATTTTATATAAAATTTTATAATATGCATATATAAAACCTTGATCTCAAAACAGTTCTTCTAGAAAATAGTTTTGAAGTGTAAAAATCTATAATTTGAATGAATTATTAATTGAAATAACCCAGCAATATTATGGAATGGAATAAATTAATCTACAAATACAATTGTCCTTAGAGACACATGTTTACTTGCTTCAAAAATTTTGGATGATTATACAGCTAAATGTACTTAGTATTATAAAAAGAATATATTTCAATTAACATTATTTATTCATTGATATCAAGAAATACTTTATTAATAATTTTACATATTCAGTTTTAGTTAATTTTAATGTTTATTGTGTCTACCCAATCTAAATGTATCTTTTTATAATCTATGTGATCAATTAGTGATTTATCATAAAAACATAAAATTTAAGGTTATTTTTATGTGATACTTTAAGCAATAAATATATTCAGATATCTCATTGCTTTATTAATATGAATAGTAAAATATGCAATAATTTGCTTTGGTAATAAGCCTTTTGATCATAACTACATGTGTATTATTTTAGACTTTCACATTTACTTTTATAACTTTTACATCCATAAATGTATTTAGCAGTCCATTTTTATTCTGAATGTGGAAGCTAAATGTTAGGTACTTAATCTGAGCAAGCAGCAGCAGATGGGAGGCATTTGCCAACAGGACTACCAAGAGCCTCAGTTAGCTATTTGTTACATAATATCAATATAGTTTAGCCTTGTATTCCTAAAATTAGGTGAAATGTGATGGATGTAGGTTGAAAATCTGCATGAAAGTTTCACAATGTTACTCTTCAAACTTGGTAAAGAATCACTAGTACTTTAAAAATAAATGTTAAAAAATATTTTCTGCAAACATAATGCAAACAAATCTGCATTATTGAAAATGGTCTACTTACCTGTTTTGCTCAAACAAATAAAAATTGAGTTTATGTATACTTTTGAGTAGAACTAACCCAATAACATGAAAATGAAAATTGTGTGATTCTAATAGGACACTTGCAGCAGACATAAAAGTATAAAATATTCAAGGAAAGGCAATTATGATCTTATTCCATTATGTATTCTTAAGTCTCTGGGGCTGCATTGTATATGCATTGATTTTGCTTGCTAATTTTATTTTCAGACTTCTAAAACTTCACTTTAAATTCCAAAACCACATTAGATAGACATCATAACATATTTTAACTCCCCAAGTGGTTAAATTGTGGAAGTCTTAGAGACTATGAAATCAGAAAAGCAATTCTACTATATTTCAATTTGATTATGTTCTCTTATATTTATGCACTTTTAATTGCATTATAATCATGAACTCATGGATGGTTATTTCTAAAGCTCTCACTATTTTTCCACCATTATACTGGACTACCATCATCTTGTGAGTATAGATATCTAAATTTTGCCCCAGGTTTTAAGTCACTTTATTTCAGTTTATTATGTGTTATTTTTTATGTACCATACCACTGCTTTTAAATTTTGTTCAGCAAATAGTTTTTAGCCATTCATTCAAATATTATTAAGCTCATTAATACTACTTTTATAACTTTCATTAAAATGTTCTTAAAAGATTATCATTTTTATTGAAATTTGCTCATAATAAATGTACCCTATTTTATATATTAACTATATTATATATCCTATTTTCATATCTTTGAATAATTTTACAGTAAGTTTTATCCTGACTTTGGCTTCCCTTTGTGAAAGACTTCCAATAAGGAAGTCATTAGAGGAGCATAAAATATATGATATATATTTAATGATGTTCCTGTATACATAATGCACAGGTTTATATAATATACATCTATAATCTCATAAATGATTATATAAAATAATAATAAAATACACATATAATTAATATATAAAAACATGGTCGTCAGTATGAAACATACAAAAAAGTAAAATTTGTTTCAATTTATATTTTTGTTATGAAAATAAACATGAATAATCTTTATAAACATCAGCAGGCATTGTTCTCCTAATTGTTTTTTTCTTTAATTTTTTTAGTTTTTGATATTCACTGTAATCTTAGGAGATGGACTGAGTTGTAGAAATAAGATGTTTGCAATTGTTTATTTTCCTGTTTTCTTTCTCTTTGAGCCTAGTTTAAGCGGACCTTGTAATGAGCTAGTCCTGGCTCACGCTTCTGCTACTGTTATTTTCTCACCTCAAGACTAACGGAATAGAAAACATGAGCCTAATAAGCCTGTCTTCTTTCAGTTTTTCTCTCTTGGATTTTTGTCATAATAATGAAGAAATGACTAATATCATTTCTTTTCCTACAGAGTTCAACCCTGGAATTGTGATTCTGAAGAAAATTTGAAGAATGCATTTTGTGGGAGAAACTTACTTTGGGTGTCAGGGACAATACAGGCTGAAGGATGTAGGAATAAATGTAGCCTGTTGGGCACAGATAGTCAGAACAGATCCAAGGTGGTTTAGGCTGGTCTAAAGATAGTAAATACTGACTGACAATCCAGTAGAGTTTGTGAGCGTCAAGAGAGGAGTTAAGTAAAAATTTTCCTATGTAAAGGCTGTATCTGTGCTCAGAAGTCTTTCTCAAATCTAAAGCAGCATGAAGAAGATGTCAAGAGAAAGCCTGGTATGGGGCATCATGACACATAAATTAATAAATTCAATAGACTGTGGATGGCCTCTGTCATGGGTGTCAGAGAAGTGCAAAATGAAAGGGATTGCAGAATCATATATTCATTTATGAAAACTCTGCAACCATGTTATCGAGAATAATGGAAAGTGTAAGTTAGAAGTGGGTTGATTATTGTTAAATGATTCAGAGAAACTGAGTGACAAAGATATCTTCCATCTGAAATTGTATAAAAAAACTATAGGCTAGCTAAGAACTGTCAAGAGAAAAAGTATGAGTAATTAATACACACTAGTGAGCATGATTTTGTAAATACTATATATATTATCACAGAGAGTAAGAACTACATTTTACAATATGAATTAATAAATAGTGTACATCTTCATGCAATTTTTTCTACAGGTAGGTAAGATAAAATGCTTTTCATAAAACTAAAATCCCTTATTTCACAAAAGTGTCTAATAAACACAGTGTATTTAATTTAAGTAATTCCATCATTAAATGCATACAACAAAGTCTTAAAGGAGAAATGGTGAGGAGTACAGATAGAAAGGTATTACTTTAGCACAAATAAACATTTCTAAAAGATTATAATAGAAATATAAATAAAATATGAAGGACAGAAGAAACAGGTAATATAAACCAAACAAAAAGTAACCAACTCAAGTATTTTGTAGAAAACAATACAAATAACTTAAAAATATGTGAAAACATGAAAAATTTCAAGATAATCCCCTTTTTAAGTTGATTTTATTGAGCTATACATTTTTCTCTGCTCCCCTTTCTACCTCTCTCTTCCCCTTCAACCCTCTCCCATTGACCCTGCTTCCAATTTATTCAGGAATTTGTTCTCCCTAAAGGACACACTGGTTGGTAAAATTGCTTTCACCACCCTTTCCTTACATAACACAATAAAAGACCGAAAAGCAAGAGACCTAGATATCTCTACCCTTTGAAGCATCTCCCTAAGTGTAGAGAAAAGCAGAAGACAGACCTTTTTGTGAGAAGGTCCCTGTGGCTTTACAGCAGGCCGGGAAAATATCCAGGTGAGGTTGGAACAAATTCAGATTAGCCAGATTTTGGTAACTGGTATTGGGCCTGGGCTTCTAGATTTCTATATCCAGATCATTTTACTTTAGACATTTAGGCACAGTGAAATTTTGGAGAAAAAAGAAGTTTTCTAATAATCATTAACTTAGTTCAAAGTGCACAACAATCTTAAGACACGTTTACATGGAGATTCTTTTCAAAGTTCATCTGGCTTTTTTCCCCAGAAACAGTTGCTGTTGTTGCAGAGATAGTGTCTGAGTTTTAGGGTCTAAGAAGATTGACTCAGGTAAAGGTAACAACTGTAGGTGTCAGGATTGGCCTAGTCCTAAAATATAGCAATCACTTAGGCTGTTGGATAAATGACATCTCTCACGAGGATAAACTTCACAGATTTGAAGCAATGCTCAAGGTTTAAGCAAACAGGATCTGGGATAAGTAAAACATAAATTCTGGAAGAGATGGGCGGGGCCTACCTCTACCGGTGGCAAAGGATTAGCAAAAGTAATTTACATTTCCCCCCAGCATTCCAGACAAATAGCTAAGCACCTTATTCCATTGAAGCCTTAAGCATTGTGAGTAACTTTTCTGGTTTCTCTAAACTATGTGCCCAAGACCTTTTTGGTACTTTACACCTTGTAATGACACAATTGTAATATTGATTTCGAGTTATGCAATGGTGGTTATGAATCAAATAAAGAGAGAGTTTTATATTCTCAGGTTTATAATATTGAAAATGTAGAGTATACGTATAGAAGGATGTACATAGTCCAATTCCATACTTATGAAGTACAAGAATTAGAAAAATTAAAAAGATAATATATATATATATATATATATATATATATATATATTCCTTAAGGATGAATTGTAGCAATAAAAAGCTATTGAATGTTTAATAATGTTAATACAAAAAATGAATTAATCCTTACTTGTAACAAGTTATTCTTAAATGATTAAGGAGCATGATTTAACACTGTTTCAAATACAACATTCCAATTAGAGAAAAACCTCTTGAGGATTATACAATTATAAAATAAGCAAAATTCGTAAATCAAAAAACTTTTAAAAATATGGGTATCAGTTTAAAGTAATAGAGAGTGAGGGATTGCTCTATTGTAGGGCTCAGATGCTGATAACATTCTCTGATTTTCTTGTGTGAACTGAAGACTTGCTCACCTTGTCTAAAACGATTTTCTAAACAAGTGAAAAGATGTGAGACTGAACTTATTGACCTGAATAATGTATGGCACTGAGGGGCTAAAGATAATTTAAGAAAACTTGGCTCTATAATTGCAACTTTCTGACTTCTCATAATCATGGATATTCTAACACGCTGATTTTCTTTATAGAATATTTAACATGCATGCTGGAAGTCCTTCTTTGTTGTATAAAGTTGTGTAATTATTTTGAATCTGCAAGGTATTGATCCTTTGAAAGATAAATCTATAAACATATTTTTGATATGTTATTTTAATTCAGTTCTAAGTTTCACTATCTGTGCTACAAAAGTGGTAAGCTATTGATACATGTATTATTCACTTACAAAGGAAGGCATATTGAAAAATTTTAGTAAAATGGATATGAACACATACAATATGAGTTTACACACATGTGAAATGCCAATGTATATTCAAAGAAATTCATGAGATAAAAAATTGTATGTGCTCCTATTAGAAAAATTTGAGTGATATAAGTGATAAGTAATACTAACTGATCTTTAATTCTGAAAATTTATGTCATATTCTGTCTTATGTATACATTCAGGATTCAACACAATAAGTCATTAAGCAAATTAAAGATTTTGAAGTATATTGCAAACTAGTTAAAGAAACACCATTTGTGCTAAATAGCAGTGTATTGTTAATATTTTAAATCCTACTTTTATTTTAATATTAATTAAACAAATTGAAGATTCTTACATAATAATGTTTAGTCAGCAATTATTATTAGTATAAAACCACTGCATTGTTTAGAAAACCTAGTTAACTTACAAAATGCATTAAATTCCTCATAAAATTATGTAATTATTCACTAGAAAACAAGTTTTAGACAAGTAAGTCACAATAAATTACAACAAATTCTGTAAGAAAGCAAACAACTTTATATTTAAGGGAACACTGGTGTATATTTTGAAAAACTATAACACAGAAACCATATTAATTAAATCACTGCTTGGCCCATTAGCTCTAGCTTCTTATTGACTAACTCTTACATATTAATTTAACCCATCTCCTTTAATCTGTGTATTGGCATAGGGCAGTGGTTTACTGGCAAAATTCCAACCGGCTCCAGTTGGGGCTACATGGCTTCTCTCTAACTCTGCCCTTTTTTCTCCCAGCATTCAGTTTAGTTTTTCCTGCCTAGCTCTGTTCCCCTATAACTCTGCCATAGGCCCAAAGAAGTTTATTTATCACTGGTAATCATAACATAAAGAGAGAAACACCACATCAGTAATCTGTTATATAATCAAACTAAAAGACAAAAATAAAATGATCATCTCAATAGAAAGATAAGTTTTTGACAAAATCTAACACTTCATAATAAAACACCTCAGAAGATTAGTGATTACATATTCATATTTCAAAATAATACAGGGAGTTTGCATGAAGCCCATCATTTTTAGCCAAGAAAAACTCAAAGCACCTTTACTAAAATCAGGAATAAGCAAATCTTGTCTCCTCTTTCCATACCTAGTCAATATAGTAGTTAAAATCTTATGCAGAGCAATAAGACAAATAAAGAAAAGCTTTAAAAAAACCTTTATTTTCATTTTATATCAACTGGTATTTTGTCCTGGGTGCTGTTTCCCCTTCAACTGTAGTTACAGACAGTTGTGAGCTTGCATGTGGATCTTGAGAATTGAGTTCAATCCTGTGGACGAGTAGTTCCTCTTCCACTAATCAATGCTCTTCACTACTGAACTATCTCTCATCCCTAAGGGATAGAACCCAATGATGGAATAACCCAGAGACTTACGATAGAACCAAGCACAACAGGAATGAAATGATTTCCACAGATTTTCTACTGTTGGTGTCTAGCCCCAACTATCATAAGAGGGGCTTCACATATTACTAAGGAAAACAAATTCAGAGACCCACAGCCAAACATTAGGCAGAGCTCAGGCATTGTGAAGAAGGGGAGGAAGGATTGTAGGAGTTATGGGATTGATGGCTCCACAAGAAAACTTACAGAATCAACTAACTTGGGTTCATACAGGCTCACAGAGACTGAACTTAGAGCCAGGGAAACTAAATGAGACAGACATAGGCCCTCTGCATATACGTTACAGTTGTGTAACTTGATTTTCTTATAAGATTCTTAAAAGTAAAAGAAGTTGCTGTCTCTGACTCTGTTGCTTGTTTTAGCGATCCATTCCTTCTATCTGATTTCATTATCCAGTATTAATAGAAGAGGAGGTAGCTAGTCTCACAGAAACTTGATATACCATACCTGGGTGATATGCATTCAAAGCCCATCCTTTCTGCAAAGAAAGAAAAGAGGAGGAATGGATGGTGAGGAAGGGGAGGGGAGGTACAGAGGGGATTGGGAGGAGCAGAGGGAGCAGAAACTTTGGATTGGTTTTAAAAACAAATAAATAAACAAAAACTTAAGTAGGTCAAAAAATGCAATTTGGAATGGAAGAAATCAAATTATCTCTATATGCAGATGATAAGGTAATTTATATAAATGACCTTAAAAATTCCATGAGGAAAGTCCTACAGCTGATAAATACATTAATTAAAATAGCAGGATACAAAACTAATCAGAAAACATTAGTAAACTTCCAGTTTACAAATGGTCTGAGAAAGATATCCAGAAAAAATTAACCAACCAAGTGGGAGACTTCTATAATAAAAAACTAAAACATTAAGTAAAGAAATCGAATAAAGATATCAGAATATGGAAAGATACCGCATGCTTATGAACAGGGAGGACTGATGAAGCAAGATTCCTATCATAGCAATCTACAGATTTAATTGCATCATGTCAGTATTCTACCAAATTCTTCACAAATCTGAAGAGAACAATTTTCAACTTTAAATGAGAACACAGAGACACAAAACATCAGAATAGATAAAAATATTCTGAATAGTAAGAGAACTGCTAGAGATATTGCCATCCCTGAACTCAAATTGTAGTACAGAGTTGTAGTAATGAATATAGAATGTTATTGGGACAAAAATAGACTTTTTGTTCTATGCAATATTATTGAAGGCCCAGACATAAATCTGCACATACAAACATCTAATTTTTTAATAAAAAAGGCAGTAATATATACTAGAAAAATCACAGTATCTTCAACAACTAATGCTGGATGTCAGCATGCAGAACAATCAAAATAGATCCATATTTATCACTCTGCACCACACTCAATTCTAATTGAATTAAAGGTTCCAATATAGACCAGAAAGACTGAATCTGATAGAAGAAACATTGCAGAATAGCCTTGAACTCATTGGTACCAGAAAAGTCTTTCAAGAACAGGAAAGCTTTCTCACAGGCACTAAGATAGCACTTAATAAGTGAAACCTCACAATACTGAGAAGTTTCTGCACAGTAAAGGGCTTCATCATTAGGGCAAAGTGGCAGACTACAGAATGCAGAAAGATTTTTACCAACTACCCATCTGAGAAAGAGTTATTATCCAAATAATATAAAGAGCTGAAAAAAATGCTATCCAGAAAATAAAACACAATTTAAAAGTACAGATCTAAACAGAAAATTCTCAAAAGAGGAAACTCAAATGGCTAGAAATCATTTAAAGAAAGTTTAAAATCCTAAAACATCATGGAAATGAAAATCAAAACTACTTTGTGACTTCATATTTTACCAGTCAGAATGGCTAAGATCAATAAAATAAATGATAGTTTATGCTGAAAGAATATGGAATAAGGGGTAGACTTATCCATTGCCAGTGGGAGTGTAAACATTTAAAGCACAGTGAAAATCAATGTGACAGTTCCTTGGGAAGATGGGAATAGATCTACCCCAAGATCTGGCTTTGTCACTCTTAGGTATATATCTAAAGGATACCTCATACTACTACAGAGACACTTGCTCAGCCATGATCTTTGCTGCTCTATAAATAATAACCAGAAACTGGAGACAACCTTAATGTCTGCTAATGGATTAATA